GGATATAAAGTGGGGAAAGACAGAGGAATGGGGAACATTTGAAGTGGCAGTTTTGTCTTCCCAAGTCACTGTTATGTGTGATGGGGCCCTGTTCTCCTGGAGACGGCTGAACATCTGCCCGCCCATGGGAAGCAGTGAAATAATTCCTTGTTTTGCTTTGCTTGTGTGTGAGGCTTTTGCTTTCCCTGTTAAACTGTTGTTGTCTCAACCTATGAGTTCTCTAACATTTACCCTTCCAGTTCTCTCCCTGATCTTGCTGGTGGGGGAGTGAGCAAGCATGTGCATGGGGATTGGCCGCTGGGGTTAAACCGTGACAAGAAAAAAAAAAAAAAAAAAGTTCAGCATTTATGTCATATAATTGCTTTTTTTTTTTTTTTAATACTCAAGCAAACAGGAACTATGTTTTCCCTCAGATAAAATTGGGAGCTTATTAAAAAGCCTTCATGTATAGTCAAAAGCAGCAGGAGATTGTAATGCAAACAGGGCATGATGGGCAGTTTCAGCACAAGTGGTGGCAATTACAAAATCTTGAAGTTGGTGTTGCAGGGTAATATTGCCATGTTACTGATGGGAACAAAGGTGGCTGTAGGGACATGTAGGCTGCATGTAGGGAAGTGGTGGCTGGAGGGGCATGTGAAAGGCAGATTGAGGGATAAGGGGCACTATGGTTCCCTATGTCAGGGAGCAAAATAAAAATTAAGTATTGTTCAGGTGTAAAACTGAATAAATCTGAATGAAACTTTGATTGGTCATACTTGGCAATTAAATTGGTGAGTTTCAGGCACACCAAGGAACAAATGCAGACTGGAGTAAGATGGTTGCTGAGATATTGTAATTTTTAGTTCTGTTGTACTTGCAAGAGTTGACTGTAAGGAGGTACAGCTGTAGAGCAAATAACTTTTACTACCAAATACAAAAAATAACTGTGGGACAAAGTTACTGTGAAGAAACAACTTGAGGTTAAAATTAAAAAAAAAAAAAAAAAAGTTTTTTCTGTGTGGAAGATGATGAGCACTGTCATCCTTTCAGGATTAGAGGTGAAGTGAATCACATTATGGTGCCAAGCACCAGCTTCTCAAACTAGCCTGTTTAGATCCAGTCAGGATGGTTGGGAGTGATGCCAACACTGGCCTGTGAATAAAATGTCTCAGATGGAGCTTCAGCCGAGAGCTGCAGTGCTGAGACAGCAGTCCCAACAAGCCCAGAGGAAAAGCCTGGATGCAGTCAGGAACAGGCAGTTTTCAGAGATGACTGAAGTGAGCTGCATTAACTGAAGGGTACAGCAATGTCCAGCTGCTGCTCAGGGGCATGTGAGAAGACAGCAGAGCTGTCATCTCTGCAATGGGGCAATGAGCAAAAACAGGGTTTCGCAGGTGGGCATTACTGCTGGGATACTGTGCTAATATGAAGGGGTGGCAGTTGAAAACCAGGTTCTGCTTTCTGATGTGTAAATGATCATGTAAAAGCAAATTTTTACAGAACTGCAATTTCTGCATGCTTTCAGGTAACAGGGCAAATGCCTGTTGTTCTACTGGAAAGCAGGTATATTTTAAAATAATTAATATTATAAAATATTAATTTTGTGCAGAGAATATGCATTTAGTTTAAATCATAGCAAACGGACAAATGCACTTAGTCTCCCAAGGACTGTGCAAATGTCTTAATTTCTTTAACCACTGCCATATTTCACTGACATAAAATGTCAGCTTGGCAGCAAGGTAAGATTTTAAAATAAATTTTCCAGTTTATTGTGTCCACAGAAACAAAGGAACATAGCCATATCAGTGTGTATTTACACTTCATATTTTGTTTGTGTGCCTAAATTCATTATACTTGTGAAATTCTAGATGAGTCAGCTCTGTTTGGTTGCTTCCTTGTCCTTTCTTGCATTTTTTTTTTCTGACTAGTCTGGGCATCAGTGATTGACGCTGGGAAGAGAAAGAGAGAAAGAGGAGACTTAGGTGTCTGGTGAAATCTTTGACTGTTATAGAAGACGTCAGACATGACTCATGAATACTGGGAACTGTAGCACAAAGGTAGATATTTCATAGCTTTAAAAATCCACAAAATACATTATTAAAATGACCACAAGATATATTAAGGGTTTTTTTTTAGATATTAAGAATTAGTGTTGTGGAATAGGGTTTTCAGTGAACTAGAGCATGGTTTTGTGCTCAGTATGTGGGTGTATTTCAAATGTTACTCTTATCTTAGTAATTATGTGAATGGTTTTTTCAAAGTAAAATACCATTAAGTTACTGGTAAAAGTTTATTTTCACACATGTAGTGAAAGTGAGACCTGCTGCAGCACACGTGTCTGAGCTGGCACTTGCCTGCAGTACGGGGACGTGGAAGGTGGGGATTTTTCCAGACATTTACAGACCAGTTTCTGCATGGAAAGAATCAACCCCAAACTAATAGAGCCTTTGGAACATAATGGCTCATGGTAACTCAGCTGCTTGCCGATTCTTACAAAAGCACCGTGGTTTCCTCCCACGTACCTCTGTATGCAGAGGAGCCTACAAACTAACACCTAAAATTTTCTGTAGTACAAATACCAGTTCTCAAGACTTTCATCAGCTGTGGAGATGAACTGGCTTGCTGCAGTGCTCTGCACGATACATTTTATGCTCCATATAACTTTTTTTATTTGTTTTGGTAGTATCCTTTTTCATAGCGCTTTTTATATCTCAGAAATCCTTAGGCTCCTTATGCCAACTTGTTTCCTCAAGCTGCCCGCTTGCTGCATTTCCAGTCAGACCTTTGTTTCCAGACCATTTTCCTTCCCTATTTTGTGTGAGGCATGGGCAATAGGGTACAGTAAATTCCCTTCTAAAGAAGAAGTCACAGAGACAGCAGCAGCTGCAAACACCTCCCATCAAAGCTGCAGACAGAAAACAGCTGTCAGCAAAATGGTGTGTTTTACTCTGTACTTGCAGCAGAAAAGTGTGGCAAGGAATGAATACATTCCCCAACAGAAAGTGTATGGCAAGGAATGAATGCCTTCCCACTGAATTAGGGATGGGAAGGGGAAAAAACCCTACAAAATGCTGTATTTTATGCAGAGGGGGCTGCCTGTGAAACGAGTACATGAAACCTAAGGGCAAAGGCATGCCTGTGTTGTCACAGCCACATACAATCATAGAATACACTGAAATGGAAGCAACCCACAAGGACCACTGAGTCCATCTCCTAGATAAAAGTATCATTTGAAAACACATGGCTTCCTGTAATGATTTAGTTAGAGGAAGTTTGGAAATAGATTTCTTTGTTGATTACTTCTATTTGCTACAATTAGATTCTGCAACTTCCTTCTGTTGGGAACTCAATACAAGAACACCCACCTGAAACATATAACATTGGTGGTTTGGTTTTGGGTTTTTTTTTTTTTTTCCTGTTAGGCTTTTGATAGGGCCTATTGAAAACTTACATGTGCATGATCTACTGCTCCAGCTGGATCCCTACAAACCCATGAGGCCTGATAGGCTTAATCCAAGAATCCTTCCAGAGGTAGCTGATGTAATCATAAAATGTCTCTTTTGAGTGGTCTTGGGATTCCAGAAGTCCAAACTGATTAGAAGCTGGCAAATACTTGTCCCTCTGAAGTTGTGTCAGGGGAAGTTTAGGTTGGATACTAGAAAAAGGTTCTTCACCCAGAGGGTGGCTGGGCACTGGAACAGGATCCCCAGGGAAGTGGTCACAGCCTGACAGAGTTCAAGAAGTATTTGGACAGAGCTCTCATGCACACGGTGTGACTTTTGGGGCTGGTGCTGTGCAGGGCAAGGAGTTGAATTCAATAATTTTTGTGGGTCCCTTCCAACTCATTCTGTGATTCTGTAAATAATTACATGGTTCACTTCCAATGCTTTTTACATGATTCAGAAGGATTTTAAACTAAGGGTAATGTTTATATCTTATTAATGACCCTACTAGACAATACCTACATGAGTCTCCTATGCTCTCTGATGAGTTATGGTGACCATAAGTGTTTCTTTTTAATCTGGATCCTCACTCTGTATCACAATGCTTGGATTAGCAACAAAAAGGCCCCATAAACCCTGATAAAGGGCCGGGACTGCCACCTCTTTGCCATTTTTTAGGTTTTTTGGTGTTTGTGTTTTATTTTCTGTTCCTTTTCTCAGTTGCTACCATGCATGATGTAGTGAGGGGAAGTTGTAGTGAGGGGAAATGTTCAAGGCAATACCACTGAAGCAGACTGTAAGAGCTGTAGCAAACAAAACAAACTACTGCTGTGTTCAGTTGTTCAGTACTAAAAAAAAAAAAAAAAACAACAAAAAAAACCAAACAAACAAAAAAAAAGGCAAGTAGATTGTTTTGAAAGAAGAAAAAATTGGTGCTATTTTAAAAAGCATGTAGTATCTTACTTCTCCTGTAGCTTTAACAGTACTGGCTATGAAGAGGCCTACAATATATTTAATTTCTGCATATTTTGTGCAAGAGTGTTATCCAGCTCTGCATTTTTTTTTCCTTACACAATGAGAAAGGCAAAAAGCAAGCTGGTTTCCTTTGCTAGCCTTTGCAGAAAAACCTGTGAAATGAAGCGTAACTCTGTTATGAATGGGATCCTGCAATAACCACGTCTGTGAGAGTCACTGCATTAGAAGTCATTGTGGTGTCTCAGTGCCTTCTTGGACAATTTCCTAACTCTTGCTGCATTTGAAAGAACTTGCTGAGTGTCCCTTAATTCAGGTTTTGACACTATGCCTGCAAAGGGGAGGTCAGAAAATGTGGTGACGTGAAAAGGAACTGTACTCTTTGTAGTGAAGACAATGTTGAGGCAGGCTTTTACTTTGGATTCTGAGCCTAAGAACTTTTAAATGTACCCCATTTATTTTTTCTCATTAACATCCTTTAAGTGATGAGTTCCAGGTTCTTTTCTCCTGCTGCAAAAGAAGGAATGAAATCATGCTTTTTCCCATGTTTTTAAATTAATGTTGAACCACAGTGCAATGGAAAGACTATATGTACTTGAAAAAAAATTTATTTTGATAATTTTATTATTAGCAAAGAGGATTTGATATCAAACAATAGAGTACAGGAGAAATAAGTTCACAGATTTTTGTGGTTTAAATTCTTACTCTCTGAAAGGAACAATTAAGATATCTTCTAAAAATTTAGAGATTCATTGATCAGGAAAGAAGAGATATACTTGACATATCATTGCAAAATAAGCATCACAAGGGCATGAATGGGAGGTCTGACATAGTAAAATTTAACCTAAACAGGGCAGAGAGAGCATGATGATCTTTGTTTTTTCTTCAGTCCCATCCCATCACCAGTATGATGGCAGGTAACTTTCCACAGTTTATTTCTGCTTCTGTCTAATCTTACGAGCCCCACCCCAGCCCCTGCTGATTTTATACTGAGGTTTTATAAATATGAAAAAGAAGTTACAAACAAAATTTTAAGTACACAATACAGTTTCATTCATTTTCAGATTGTCCAAATTAATAAAGTTGTTCAAATCAAGAATCTTTGGCATCTGCAAGCCAGAATGATTGTATTACCAAAGCGCAAGGATAAATCCCAAAATTCTTGTATCAAAGAATTACCTAGAGCCAGAGTAACACGTGTGTGTGTGTAGTTTGTTTTGTGTGCATGTGTTCTCAGTTACAGTGGACCTCTGGAAATACAGAAAGGTAAATATTTCTGTCAGCTGATTGTTTTAGCAGTCACATAATCCTTTCTTTGATGTCCTGGGTCAATGAAATCCTAGTACCATCGGGGTTTAGTAGAAGATCTATTAAAAGAGTTGTCTGTGATCTTTCCTGCAATGGAAACAGCATTTAAAGTTATTACTCTGTCACAGTGAAGGAATATCTGTGCATTCTTGATTGCTCCAGCTTTCCAAATTGAGTTATATTTTAGGTTACCAGTAGAGTGTAACTGTAGCTACAGAGTTAACAGTGGTCTCTTTAGCTTCCTAAAGCTACCACTACAAGGTCTGGAGAAGACAGGGAGGGATCCATGGTGGAAGCACTCTCTCTCTTGGTTACTAGCAGGTTACTCTGAAAATAATGTTGGAGGCAAGTTACCAGAGCAATACTCTGTGATGTGCTACGTATCCACATACCTTCTCATCTTTAGCCAACAGTCCTCTTAAACAGTACTGAGGTAGCTTTTCCACCTTAGGCCATTTAGTGTCTAAGATCAGGATATCGTAATGTGTACTGATTCATTTTTTGAGAGAAAACAGCAAAAACATTTCTCAAAGGCTCTTAGGAAAGGTACATCTTGTTTTTTGCTCTAGGGCTCGACTCCTGTTCCTGCTGAACTGAGCCAGTGTGTAAAATCAGAACTGATATCAGCTCAGTAGGCACCGGAGGACGGGTCCATCAACAGCCTGGAACAACAGCAGCAGCTGTAAGTTGTTTCCGACTGGAGCTGCCACCATTTCCTGCAAACAACACACAGTGCTAAGCTAAAACTGCAGAGAGGATCATGACAGCATCCGTTAAAGAAAAGACTATAAAACAAAAGCTTTATTGACAATTTCAGGTTAAAGTCACAAACGTTATTTCCTCTGACCTTTAGGGAAGCATGGTAACCAAATTACTGTAGGCAATGCCTTTACATTTGCAATCAGACTGAAAACTTAAGGAGCACTGTTTATTCTCAACTAAAACTCAAAGTCTTTGGTCCTTCCCAGGTTGCCTCTGCCTCTTATTCTCCATACACTGAACCTCGGACACATGCATTCATCACAAATCTGCCCGTTCAGCAGCAAGGGATCTCAGCCAGCAAACGCTCTCTGCCCTGCAAAGAGTCTCCTCTCCCTTCTCTTCAGGTGCAGAACTTAGCCACTGTGAACAAAGAGGAAAACAATCACTGTTCACCAATCAGCTAAGCTCTGCACCTCACCAGAGAGATCTCGGTCTCAGCAGAGATAGTTTTCGGAGGAGGTTCTTCCATGATGCTCTGCTGCTTTCCTCTGGTTTTGGTGGGTTTGGGTTTGTTTCTCTTTCTATATTTTTTGGGGTTTTTTTTGTTTGTTTGTTTGATAGATGGAGAGGATTCCACGCTGTGCACCCATCAGACCGTTAATGGTGAGTTTCATGCTAGCAGCTGTGGTCATGGCTGCGTGGTAATCCCTGGCAATGTGATTTTAATCTTAAGTCACAAATCATCATGCCAGGAACCCAAACAGCCATAACATTAAAAGAAAACTGTGCAGACAGAGTATTGTACTCAGTATCTTTAGATTTTGTGTTATAGCTAACCATGCACTTCCACTCTGTAAAGTCAAAGGGGTAATTCTAGACTATTGCTAACACCTGCATACCATGTAATCTTCCTGTGCTAGATACTTACCATCAGAAACTTGTAGAAATTTTGATTTTATTGTTTCTGGCCTTCAGACACTTGAACACACCTACCAGATTAAGATTAAGAACTGTTGAACATAACTCAAATTCCTGTGAGTCCTTGATATTTGGGAGTACACAAGAGAGTCTCTATAGCTGTAACTATCTTAAAAGGTGTCTCTCCTACTGCTCCACTGATATCCTGCCACTCTACAGTCTGATCTACCTTTCCCAAAAAGTTTTCTTGGCAGGCACAGTTCTTGTCTATACAGAATAACAACATGGCTTTTCATAATCAAAGTTGCTTTCATATATCTGTCATTGGCTATATTTCACAGAAATATAGCAAAAAAACAATACAAAATCAAGTGGAACTCAGTCAAATACTGCTAGAACAGGAGAAAATTAAGATTTTTGCTTGGTATCAGTTAGGTGACAATGTTTTTGCTAAATTAAGAGCCTGAATTTTGATACCACAAATCAGCTGTAAAGTTTTGTGAACAACCACAACAATCAGTCTGTCGGATGAGTTGTATGATTAACCAAAAATCTGAGATATGCTGTACTCGAAGAAACATTCATTCATAACTTAATGGGTTATAGGTTAAACATGCATGTGCAGACACTGTAAGGCTACCTCCAACTCCTCAGACAGAGAATTGGAAAGTATCTTTGCAAATTTATAGCCTACAGCAATCTTCATTCCATAAATATTTTTGTAATTTTGCTTTTTCTGATGATTCCTCTCCTTTAATTTCATAAACAAGCTAGCTTCTTCCTGTTAAGGCTACTTTTTTACCTCATAATCAATCTTCAAAACCTCCATATCCTTAACACAAAAAAAATGTGAATTATCTGCTTGTTCTCACATGATATTTACTTCAAAGTCCACAGTTTCATATTTCCACTGTGGGATCAGGCTTTTTTCAAAGACTATGCTGCCTGTCAAGTAAACATGCAGCTCCATTAGACAGAAATGCTCCTAGCACAATTGAAGTTTTTGTAAGCAGAGTTAGGAATACAGGATGGGAAACAACTGTAGGCAGAGCCTGGCCTTCTTTGGCCATTTGAACTTACAGTTGCCTCTTGTACAGTCCATTACAACAAAGCCATTCTCCACGTTCTCCAGCTATGCCTACATGTATGTAACTCACTGCTCCCGCAGCTGGGCTTAAGAAAAAGAAAAAAAACAAGCCAACAAGATATATAACAAGAGTTATTTCTCAGCCTAAGCAGCCACATGTTGTATGGTATGCCATAGTTTACCACGTTCACTAAGCTCTGCATATTCTTTCTATCTGAAGCAAAATCAGGGTATTAGGATTAAAATGAAAAATCACCTTTTCAGAATAACATCTCTGCCACCACTTTGGCTGAGGATGCATCCATATGTTCTTGTGCTGCAGCAAAGCATTTCCGTGCAAGTTCCTGTTGTTTTGCATCTTCATTCACCATTAATTCACCATAGAGATACACACCCATAGCCTGAAAGAGGAACATAACACACAAGCATCCCACCACCAGTAATAACTAGTTAGCTGGGGTTTTGACATTGACTCTCTACTATTCATTTAAACTAAAAATATAACAAAATAGACAATCCAAAACACAGAAAATACTATTTACTCTTTAATGTCTATTGTCCCCCCCCAGAATAACAAATTTCTCTGTGTCTCTTTAGCCTAAGGACGGTTGTCTATATGCCGTGTTGACTCTGCAAAAACAGATTATTAATGTAAGAATTTTGTGTTATGGCATGACAAGAAAATCACTCCTCACCCCACTTTCCTTACCACTGTTCAAGTTGAATACTGTTTCCTTTTACCAACTATCTGGTTTTTTTCCAAATGTTCCTTAAGAAAAAAGCTTCTCCTTCCTTCAACAGGATACACATTTTCTTTCCAATTGTCATGTTTACTCACAGATCCATGAACAAAGACTGAAGTACTCCACTCTAAAATTCTCATTTGGCAGTTCTGTAACTGGACATCAACTGAATATGGTCACATCTATGTTTCACTCCCTTTATAGCACAGATACAGTTTAACATGCATAAATGCATAAATTCTGGTTGGGTATGAAGACAGTCTTTTCCTAACTATTTATTCTGAACATAGCAGCTATGAAAAAAGGTAATGGGGCTCCTGTGAGGAGATCTGGGTCCCTTTGACCACTGCCAACAAAGCTCTGGCTCAGAAAACATATTGGAGATTGTCTTTTTTTTCTGATCATACATTTTTTTCAGCTAATTACAGGAATTCAGTAAATGCTAAACTGCACTTACCAAAACAGGATTACGTATGTGACAAAATATTAGCAGCTTAGCATGCTGACTTTTACAGTTATTGTTTGGACACTTGCAGGAGTGGAAAAATTTGGACAGCATTGAGAAAATATAATTTTTAATGCTATTCCTCACAATTTCTAGCATTGGCTGGTAAACCTTAAAAACCCCTTCAGCCAGAAGAGAAATTTAAAATTTTAAAAACGACTGAAGTAAAAGGAGAGAGTCCTAGAGTGGCAGGAACCTGCCAGACTCCTTGCCAATTCTCTAAGCATACTGTGACGCCAAGAGAACCAAAACCTGAGATTTGCAAGCTTTGCAGCTGCACCAAGGTCTGGCAGCCACACAAATGGCCTTGGAGCTGAGCTCCAGTTGCTCTCATTGAGAAATTTTAAATGGTGAAATTTTCTTACTATAGGAACTACCTTCTCTACCCAGCATCAATAACTCTCCCCTACGTCTAAACATTAATATACCATCTATATAAACACTCTAGTGTTTTGTAGAACTTCAAAGGATTTAAACAGTCCATTTGCATTTTTCTGCAGACTTTTAAAAATGCCGTGTTACATGATCAGTACAGACATGCAACTGCTCTGATTTATGCACTAATCGCACCAGAAGCTCGTTGAGCCGTTAACTGTATGCACTGCTGAAGTAAATGAAATTAAGATTACATTAAAAAGTTGCAAAAAATGTCTTTATGTGACATAACAGCTATTCCAAATATAATGCAATTCTGTATGGTTTTATCAACTCAAGGGTTTCCTGAACCCCGAACCCCCAAGTTCTGCTGGTGGTTATCTCCATCCTTTCATAGAATATAAATATGCACAAACTATGTAACTCCTTATGAAATAATGTTATTTTATGTCTTTTTTGCTTGTTTGTTTTAATACAGAGCTTGCCAAGAGCTCTGGGGCCTGTTCACTGCTGAGATATAAATAGGAGGTATACTTCTGAGCTAGAAGAATGCTAGAATGAAAAAGTGCAATAATTTAATTGTTGCCTGAAAGCAGAAAATCCTCATTGGCTGTAAACAGCTTTGTTCATTGTCAGCATAAAAGGGAAAGACATTAATATCTTGCCTAGATTTTGACGCATCTTTACCATTTTCTATTTTTTAACAAACACTTAAATATTTAAAATTCATCCTAGGCAGTGAATGTCTCCATTTTATAGGGCTCAGAGTGAATAAAGATAAATAAAAGTGAAAATAGAAAAAGAACAAGGCAGAGGTGCAATTAGAATTAAAAGTTCACAGTGGCCTAAATAAAAGGCCACAGTAAGGGAATCATGTATGTCCAGCCTTTTAATGCCTTCACAATCCTCTCTTACCATGTCCCTACCCATGGAGGGGCTAGCATTCCCTGGATGTGCTATACTACTACTTCTGGCTGTCATCTTCAAAACTGAGGTTACCACAGCACTGACTGCTTTGCACCTACCTATACTTGCATTGACATTCATAGCCACACTTACCTTCCTCATCCTGCAAAAGGAACCTGCTGAGAAGTATGTTCCTAGCATCACTCATACCTCTGGCTTGCATAAAATGCAAGGAGAGGAGGAATTCTATCCTATTTCACCACTTGACAGAGGATTACCAGTCTTTAGGTTTAGGTGGGGTTGAGTTAGCCACTACTTTAAGCAGCTTCCCCTACAATGTTTAGGGGACCACAGAAGAAAAAATGAATACACAGCCAAGTTTTTGACAAACTGCAGCAAGAAAACATACTAAAATATATTTTTTTACGTCAGCATAAGGGTGTTAAAAAGTTGATTGTTTTCAAAATGCTAGTAAAAATGTAACTTACTTGATCCTCTCTAAGGAATCTCTCAACGTCTCCATACCCAGGCTCATATTTGTGTTTAATGACAAGTTCACACCACCGATGACGAACCTTTGGGAAGAAAAATAAAACTAGGTGAAAAACAAACAAACAAACAAACCCCTGTATTTTGTCTGAGTGTTGATAATATATCTGTACCAGTTTGGCTTTTTCATATTTTTTGGGTTTGTGTCTTTTGGCAGGCTGCAGCCTGACAAGTCAGTCAGCTGGAAAGAGGAGCCAGAGCTCTGTGCTCCTCAGCCTGGGCTTTGGAAATCCAGGATGCCCAAAGACAAACTCGTGATTCTGTGCTAGAAATTAACCCAGATCCAGGCACACGTGCAGCATCTTCACTGCCACTGTTTCCAGTCTTTGACTTTCTTTCTTTTAAGTTAGGCTAGAGGTTACTTCTTTCATATTGTCAAAAGGGGGTCATGGGGGGTGGCAGGAAACAAAGATTACCACTGCAAAGGTCTGGAGAAGCCACAAAATATAACTGATAATATCCCCTATTTAAGTGTATCATACAAGTGATAAAAAGGCTTAAAAGTAATTCTGTACCAATATTAAATCCATACCAAAAGAGAAAAAGGTACATATCAACCCACGAGACAGGGAGCTTTCACTTAAATTAATCAGTTTTGCTACTAACAGTTTTTAAGCACATTCTTAAGCATTTAAAATTCATCTGCATTTAAAAAGCTGTCATGCTGTTCTACCAATGCACATGGATAAAACAGTTATTGACACACTGTAACAAAGTTTTCAAGCAAATTACAACTGAAAAAATGGTTTTACTTAAGTAGTATGAACATGAATTACATGTGTGTTGTCTTTACATTTTTGAATTTGTTCTTAGCCACTCTTGTGGCCTAAGTGTCATCTTACTCTCCAGTAAGGCTTTTCTGATTGCAGGCAGTGATCAGCCTAACATTTTATATTCCATTAGCAATTCAGCACTGATAGTAAAGGAAAACGGTTAAATGGAATAACTCCCATTGCTTCTGTTTCAGCCTTTTCTCTTACCATCTTTCAAAAGACAGGGCACCTAATGAAAATCACCTTTCATAGTAAGAGTGAAATGTTAGCAGTTTTAGTAGTTTATGAAACTGAGTCCAAATTATGCTTATATCAAGTAGCTGAATATGAACCTTTCTCTGAATGACAGATGTAGTGATGACATTGAGAACTGAAGACAGAAAGGGAGAATGGAGAAAAAGGTACTGTTGCTTTTGGGAATAAGGTTTTGAAAAGAATTTCCTTTTCATCCTAGTCCCTGCCAACTTTTTAGCTCTGGAAAAAATTTCACAGAATTACATTAGATTCGATGTCAATCCTATTAGCATACTAACAAGTGATAAATGCCAACAGGTCCTGTGTGCCTGATACCTCTTTTTAGCTGACCACTTACACAAAATAGTTTGAAGACACCTTATGAAAATAAAAAACTGTGAAGTTTTGGGGTTGGGTGGATTTTGCACTCACTGCATTTAAGATACTAAATAGCTACAGTGCTGTGCATGGTAGGGAATAACTGCTGTGTCTTACAGCTTTCTGCTGACAAAATAGCAGCTGCTAGGACTCCTGCTAGTGGAACCAGAGCTAAATTTACAAAAGAAATGGCTTTCCAAAATTCAACTCACTTTGCTGTAGATGCCCATATTCACAATGCAGACCTTCAAAACCCTACCCAGCTGCTGCTTCTCTCAGGAGACACTAAATGTTTCTCCAGTATATCTTCCCAGGCAATCCAGCTTTGTTACAGGGTGTTTCTCAGCACCAAGCAGCTCCTTGCCCAAATGAAACTACCCAGACTCAAAACTTAACCGTACACCTATCTGTACGATGAGTTAAGCAAACAATATAGACACATTTAAAAGGCTGTAGATACACTTTTCCCTGCAGATTCTTCCATATATAACAAACAAACAAATAATCCAAACAGAATTCCTAATGTATTCTGATAGCAATGAGGAGAAACATGAGGAGGAGAAAGGGTCTGTGGTCCCCTTCTGTGATCACTGCTCTTCTACATCTCATGATCCAGCAGTTACAGCACTTAACCAGGAGGTAAGCAATCAAGTGCAGCTTCTGTGGCTGCTCATGATCTCAAACTGTGCCTTCAGTGAGAATATTTCAACAGCAGGGATGGGGCTGTCTTCACACCTCCTGGTGGAGCTGTTATTTCCCCTGCAGTTATTAAAGTATTTATTGATGTAAATGTGGAGTCACAAGACTTAAGGGCCTACATTTCTGAGTACTCTTTACAACAAGTAGGGACCTGGCTGAAAGAGCACAGGAGCCAGTTTGCCCCCAAAGCACCTTCTTGGTGCAACCATTGTAGCTGCATGGAGGGCAGAACAGAAGTTCTCTCTGTGAAGGCGTTCATGTGGTCTTACTTTCTGACATATTAAAGTCATGTATGAGTGACACTGCATCATGGCCTGAGCATCTGAATTCCAAGGGCTTTGGAAAACACAGAACTAAGCTGTGCCTGTTCCCTTAACTGTTCCTTCCTCCATATGGCTTCTGTCCTTGGCAACCAACCTTTATTCAAATAGTTAAAAAGAAAAATATTTATTTGTTGAGTGAGATCTGAGACAGCACACACTTTTCTTTCTCTCTTTTGCTTTTTTCTCTTTCTTTCCCAGGGTGAGTATAAATCCCAGCACATTCCCAGACCTGAAATGCTGGCACTTTGCCATCTGGGGCAGGAGCAACATGTCTCTTATCCTCAGATTGCACATTTGCCTCCTGTATGCCCCAAATATTCCTGTGGCAGAGCAAGCTGCAGGAGAACCAATGGCTGCTGAAGGGCTTGTGAAACCATCAGCTCAGTCAGCCCTGCTCTCTGACTTGTGCAAGACTCCAGAAAGCAGAGCACAGAAACCAAGGCTGGCTCCAAGTTCAAGAGGGGCAGGGGGGCCTTGCACAATGTGGACTGAAATATATTGGTTACATTCCTGTCCCCTGCGCCATATGGTGTGTAGACAGCCATGCTGCCCAAACTGCAGCTACAACAGTTTCTCAGACACACGAACTATAAAGAAGGAATTTTTCTATGCTACTCCATAGCCTTAAGGCTGATTCCACAAACATAAGAATTTTAGTCACATAAGAGCAGAGTGCAAAAAAAAAACCCCAGTTCCCAGCGTCTCATCCAATGCTTAGAGTGGCAAGAGCAAAATGGGCCCCACAGCTTCACAGCCTAATGAATGAGTCATGTGAACAGGCACTTTCAACAAAACAGTTTCAAACGGAAATTTTGAAAACCAAGTTGCTTGTGGTCGGACTGGGCTAACCATACCACATCCTGTGCATGCTCTTCTTGGCTTTGCTTTTCCTCCCAGGAGCAAATACTCAGTGGCAAAAATAAGAATTCATTAGTCCTCTCGCAGTTTTCTCTCTGCACGTTTCGCTGTGCTCTTCTACAGTTCAGAGATTCACAGCATATGTCGTTTTGGCTGGTTATATCATAAACAATATAAACTAAACCTGAAAAGTAATTTACAGCAATCCATCCTGTTATTGCTGGCAGAAAGCACGGAGGACTTTGCTGGATCTGAAGCAACACCTTTAACTGCTCACCCACCCACCCACACACACTCTCTTACTGGTTTGGCAGCTGCAAGGACTCACATGCTGATATTGGAATTGAAATTTATTTTCGCAGCCTGCAATACCAGGGTGAGAGATGTCCTCCCAAGTCCAGGACTGATGGCTGGCACTCCCAAGGATGGGGAAAAGTAGGGCAGAGGAGTGATGGAGGTCTGCTGACACCTTAGGTTCCTTGTGGATGGACCTTCATTGCTTAGAAATTTTTTTGTCCTCCCACCCTGCTTTTGGAGATGGTGGGGGCCTCTCCTGCCAGTTTTTTAAGCTAAATTAAGTTTGTAACTGTGTGTTTTGCAACACAATACTCGTATTAGTAGTGCATTTCTGAGGCACAGTCCAGTAACATGAAGACATGAAGACTCAATGTCTCAGGTACAAGATTTAATTTTTGCTAAGTACCAACAACATTGAGATCTAAGTATTGGCATGTACCTACACAAGACATAGTGAAGGGATGCCACTGTCAGACAGCAGAGTCCCAAATACAGGAGCAGCAGCTTATACAAATAATTCCAGGAGCCTCATAATATCTTTTAATTTCATTTTTGAGAAAAATACACAGTATTGCACAATATTATTTGTAACTCAAAAATACCTGCATTTGGACAGAAGATACCAAGACCAAAATTTTTCTTGCTCTGTTTTCAGACAATGCAACCTGCTGCATGAGATTATTTGAGGGCAAACAAATTACATAAAATATTCTAATAATCCAGCTCTAAGGCAGTCCCTTTAACAACCTGGGCCAAGACCTTTTGGGAGATGGTGCTTTAAGCTGACAGACTAAAGCCATGTAAGGTACTAAATACAAGGCTTGACTTCCCAAAGAAAAGCTCCTAGTGACATACATACCTGAGAAAAAATTATTTTAAAGGTATTTTGAACATGTCTTAAATTAAAGAGATACTGACTGTTTCTGACTCAGGTGATAAATTCTTTTGCCTAATCCATGTTATTCTCCCATGGCCCACACAACCACAGAATCATAGAATCCCAGAATGGAATGTATTGAAAAGGACTTTAAGAATGATGCAGTTTCAACCCTCCTGCCATTAGATCAGGTAGCTCAAAGCCCCATGCAACCTTGGTCTTGGATGGGGCAACTTCCACAGAAGGGGAAATTTCTATGGGAAACCTGTTCCAATCTCTATAGACTTTCAGAGTAAAGAAGTTTTTCTAATATCTAATCTAAGGCTACTCTCAGTTTAAAGCCATTTTCCCTTGTCCTGTCACTATATGCTCTTGCAAATAGTCCCTTTCCATCTTTCTTCCAGGCTCCTTTCAGGTACAGGATGGCTGCAATTAGGTCGGTCCTTCTCTTCACCAAGCTGAACAAACTCAGTTCTTTGGCCTTTCCTCACATGAATCAGAGAATCTCAAAGAATCACAGCTGAGCTGGAAGGAACCCTTAAGAATAACTGAGTCCAATTCTCAGAGTTGCACACAAGAAAAAAAAA